GAACAGCCCCGGCCCTCCCAGCCTTTCCTCCCAGCACAGGGGTTCCAGCCCTCGGATCATGGCTGGGGCCTCCTCTGGCCCTGCTCCAACAGCTCCAGCTCTGTCCTGTGCTGAGGGCTCCAGAGCTGGACGCAGGACTCCCGGGGGGGTCTCAGCAGAGTGGAGCACAGGGGCAGAAGAGCTTAATCTGTACAGATTCAGAACAAGCAGTGAAGTTCTTAAAGTTACAGTTGGAGATGATGGTGTGACGTTTGCGGAAGCTACTTTCCCAAACATATGTTTTAAGCTTATTCCTGCTCACTTTGGAAGCACTTACTTTTTTCTTTTTTTTTTTTTTTTGTCTGACTAAGCAGCAGATGAGTTAGAAAATGACAGATGATCCTTGCACTGAAGAGCATATGCTGCTCCTTAATTGCCTTCTTCCAAAAATGATTACCCGTTAACAAGTGACATCACTGCAAAATAAACCCTGTTAGACAATGTTAGTACAATTCTCACGAAAATGCTGAATTCCTCTTCTGCAGGAGTTTGACAAGAAATACAATCCCACTTGGCACTGCATCGTGGGAAGGAACTTTGGCAGCTACGTGACTCACGAGACCAAGCACTTCATCTACTTCTACCTCGGCCAAGTCGCTATTCTTCTTTTCAAGTCTGGTTAGAACCCTGGACTGTTACTGACACTCGCGCCTGGTTATAGGACTGCACACTAACTCCAAACAGCCTCCTACCGTCAGCCTTCCTGAGGAAACGGACCTTGATCTTCAGGTCTTTTGTTGTATTGTTAATGGTCAGGGATTTTGCTGTAGCAGCTGGTATTTTAATTGTCGCTATAAAAAAGGTAAAAGTGTCTTCCTTGTATTTATTTTCTTTTAAAAGATTGCTTCTTTGCTAATAAAATTGTTGGAACAAGTTTATCCTTCAAGAGTTTTCTCTACCCTTCTGCCCTCCCAGTGCTGGCATTACCCTCTATTCCACTGTGAGTGTAGGAGGAACATCGCCACCCTGACTTCACCCCCAAAATCCACAGCATCTGAAGCCTGAGCTAGTATATAAATACGTCATCTGTCAGTAACTGAGACCACCAGGAGATATTTTCCCTGAGAGAAGAGAGACTGCTTTTCAGTTCTTGATAAACATATTTTCAGCATGAACAACCTCCAGTGCAAATTCTGGAGTTTAGATACATGGTGTTGCTTTTCTGATTTCAGGGGAACTGGTGAGCTAAAAGCACTAGTCCTTTCATCTCCCAATTTTCAGAAGAGACAAACTTTCATACAAGTTCATTACATGGCTGTCACTTTAGAATGTAAGTTTATACCTTCTCTAAATTTTTTTTTTCACTGTATCCTGCTACAGAACATTGTTCTCCAACAGTTTAGTTGAAAGAACAGAAGGAAATGCACAGTATTTACACAGAGGTTATGCATCTAGCACTGACAAAGGAAATGATTGAGGTAGTGAGGTGAAAACATGTAATCTTGCCCCAGAATATAGCTATGCAGTCATTCTCCTTCAGAAACAAATTCCTTTCTTAGAAAGGATAAAATACTGACTTAAATGAAAGTTGATGCAGAGCTGTTTTATTTCACAAGCCTTCCCTTTCCAAGAAGTAAAGGAATCACGGGCAAAATCCCTCAGAGTCCGCATGACAAAGGTAGTGACAGCTTAATATAAATCTAATAAATCCAAGTTACTTCTTACTGGTATGCTATCTTCCTTGAGGCTTACTAATAAAAAGGAGGCATCTTACTCCCAGACCAGTCAGTCTATTTCTGTATCCACACCACTGGTAATGAAGTTGCTTCATTTGTTAGCATTGCTCAGTTTTGGCCATGTCCTTTACATTGCACATGAAGGGAAATGCAAGCGTAACAAATGCCCCAGGAGTCACTCTGTCTGCAGGCTTCTTGGGGCAAAAATGGTAGCTGGTTGTCTTCTGGCTCTGACTGCTGAGCAAGCATCTGTTACACAAGTTGTTAAAACTCTTCTTCAATCTTGACAGCATTAAAATGCCACAGCCTTCATACGCCTTAGGAAAATTACACTTGTAATTACCTGTGTTCTGCTACATAGCAGACTCACAGTTTGAAACCTGAGTGAATGGCTACAATGCCCGAGTTCAAGTTCTGATAATCCACTTTAAAAAAACCTGCATCTTCTATCATTGCCTTGAACTCCTCCTGAAAAGTAACAGTTCCATAATTGTAACAAGCTGAAGGCCTATAAGCAAGCTGCCTGCAAGATGACACTGGGATGGTGGTTTGTGTTAGTGAATACTGTCCTACCTGAGGGGGGAAACGTCGGATGCTCTCCACGAGATACTGGTAAGACTTCCAGTCACCAGCGATAACCTCACCCAGAACAGGGATAACCTGGAAACTGTACAGGTCGTAGAGCCTGCACGGACAGCAAATGCAGATTAATACAAACAAGTGTAAAATCAACCCTCCCCAACAGAAGCTGATCTCTGTACCACTACGCTATGGAGCCTGTACCTGATTTTAAAAGTGCACAATAAGGTGGCCTCAAAGTCTCTCTGTCTCTTATTCTGACTCAGTACAAATAAGAGAGCCTTGTGACATGGCACAGCGTCACCACGTTCCTACCTGGAAAGAACAGGGTTGCTGACGTGACTAAATTCAAGGCAGAGAAATCTTCCTCCTGGTTTCAGCACACGATAGGCCTCCTCAAGTGCCTGAGACAAAGCAGATGCAATAAATATGTTTCTGTAGAACGGCACCTGGCTATTATCATGCCATGTGATGGCAACTCAGTGATGAACTGAGGGGAGAATCCTGACTGGCAATCTCCAATATTTACTTGTGAAGAAGCACCCCAAGGTAAGTACAAAAAAAAACCCTCAAACAAACAAAACCAAACCACAAAAACTCTTGCTGTTACATAAATAGATTTATACCAGGCTTCGTGTCGAAACTATGATGTCAGTTTTGCAGTTTTTCCTCTTTTTCCCTGCTCTTAGTTGATGAATGTTTGCCAGCAAAGCTCTTGTAATTACAGACCAAACCCAAAAGGGAGAAGGTGACTCAGTTACAACAAGCTGAAAATGAAGAGAAGGCATGATAGATTTTTTTTTTTTTTTTAATCAAAAGACAAGATTTTACTCAACTGCAAGGCACACCCAAAGGATCAAAGAAGGCATGATACTGGGTTTTGGATAAGCAGTGTGTGAGAACAGGGAGGAAGGAGAGGGAAGAAGAAAATCTTTGGCTACTTTGAAAATTCCATCCTATATTGAAAATAAAACACCAAGACAAAATTCTGTTTACAACTATATGTTTTTTCATACAAGAGCACAGCAGGGTTGTATTCCAGAACCTCTGCATGTTGTACATCTGCTTGGCTTCAACTGTCATGTTCCTAAGGGATAAAATATAAACAGTACACATACATGATGGGAGCCCTGCAAAAGAATTAGAGGCTTGGATGTGTTCAGGTCTCCAGGGAGCTATGCTACCAGACTGCTGTATCCAGGAAGGCAAAGAGCCTGTGCTTCGGAAGAGTGCAGATGAAGCATCACGAAAAGCGATTCACATTAAGAGAAGTTCAAAGTCATAGAGTTCAAGGTGGTTTGGACCCAAACACTACACCTTCCACAGAAGGAGCATTGCCAAGGTTGTAACACGCTCCTCCAAAACACAACTAGTCCAGCTAGACAGGTAATCTAACCTATCTTCATCCCCAAGACAGCAAGTCATGCTCGAAGGACCGATATTATTTAGAACAAAGGGTACTACTTCTCCTAATTAAAATCAAACTCATTCTTCATGAGAAACTCTCCTATCAGCCAGCACAAGAACACTGAGCAGCAGTGGGCTGAATGGGTTAGTTCAATGGCAGTAGTGGCAGCAGCCAGCTGCTTCCCACTCTGCCCTGGAAGCTCTGCTGGCTCAGGGAGGGAAACTGAACGGGGCAGGAAGCGTTGGACCCGCTGCCGTGGGATATCGATCAGGTGCTTCAGGAAGATCCAAGATGTGCAGACCGACTGCGCTGCGCACATGTAGATTCAGTAACATCACAGGTCAGGGGAGGGTGGGGAATGACTGCAGCCCTTTTTGCCTTAGGAAGAGATTGTGTGGCTTGCCAAGCTGGAAGGATTGGGTGCAACTACTAAATCTTTTGCAACTAGTATAAAACTCTTTATGACAAAGGTGGGACATTTAATTGTATTCTCCATTCAAACAAGTTGCACGCTACATGCCACTTATTTTAAATGCTTCAGCAGGAGAAAAAGATGTTCCTTTATCCAAAGAATTCCTCCTTTGCTTCTCTGCTAGAATAAAAATCTCAGGCGAACTGTAAGGACCCCATGTCAGGATACACTACAGCAACTTACCAAATCAATACGAGTTACATTTCGGATTCCAAAGGCAATTGTGTAAACATCAAACTTATCATCATCGAAGGGCAACTCTTCAGCATTCCCAAGCACCCAGGACAAACCTGTAGCAGAAGCCAAGGACACGGTATTGAACAAATTTTATATAACTCAGACTGCTCCAGAAAGGCTAGAACTTCTCTATTCCAGATGGAAATGATTATTAATAAAGTGAAATTTAAAACTAATTTTCAATTTTGCATTTTTGTTGGAGGAAAGATACCTTGGTCATACTCACAAACCTTTCAACACCCTGTACTATACAGCTGTCTTTCAAGCAAAGTAGTTAATTTTGCAGTTCAGCCAAAACGTTTTTCTGCATATAGACCCATGTTGTGCTCACAGGGCCATAGTCTGCCACAAAGAGTTCACTCAGATCTTGCATCGTAGCAGAAAGCAATTGGCTTTCCAGAATCTGGCTGCCATTTGTTTGTAGCAAAGTTGCAAAAAGAGAATCTCTGCTCAGAGAGTAACTATAAACAATGATTAATGTCTTGCCATGCAACAATGGCCAAAACACTTGAAACATTTTGCTAGAAAGCTTCCATGGATTGAGGAACATGAAGAGCCACACTCCCTCCATCAGCACTATCAGTGTGCAATCCTGCTGCGGCTGCGTTGCTTCCCAAACCTCAACAGATCAAGGCCATGTCTATCTGTGGAGCGTGGATGTCCAGGCTATTGGTACTAAAAATAAGACTGCTCAATTTAGAACTAATAGTTGAGTCACTGTTTTTGGTGACTCAAATGCAAAACAAAAAATACTAACAGAAGAAAACCAGAAGTCTCCTGCAACAGAGATCAGCAGTTTCAAAGGGCCATATGGTAGAAAGTGACATGGAGGAGAGCAAAACACAACAGAAAACAACAGTTGTTGCCAGGAGACATTCAAATTTCATTTTTAGAAAACATATATATACTTATAGTGGTAAAAAGTGTCGCATAAAAAGAAGCATGCAGTATTATTGAAGTAGTGATTATTAGTGTTATTCAAACCTAGATAGTTTGAAAAGACACCTAAGAAGTGAGCATCAAGAAAAGGTTTTGAGCAACAGGAAAACTGTCCTGCAGAACACACTGTAGCAAAATCCCAGGAGTTTGTAAGTGGATACATTAAAGGGGCTGTCGGTGTCCAGCAAGAAGAACTGGGGCACCTGCAGTGCAGCCTACCACTCCTGCTAGCCAAAAAAGCACAATCAGCGACCGTGCAACACTTGTTTTTTTTTGCCATGCACAGCCCTCACTGCTGGTGAACGTACATAGGAACACAGTGAAAGAAAGCTCTGGCCCCTACAATTCTAAAAAAAAATAATTTAGACCTCGGACAATCAACAGAAAACCAAGCTCAGAAGTGAGATTACTACAACAGGGAAGAATCACCTGAAGAACAAAAGGCAGGACACATTAAATGGATATGTGCTGAATAAGGGACTGAAAAAGAGTAACAAGTCAGACCTGTGGCACAGTGGGGCATAAGGCAACCCAGGCAACCAGACGACAGTTGAGCTTCTACAGCTACGATATGCAGGGGCAAAAGATTAAAAAACATAAATACTCATTTTGAGAATTTGGTAAGTCACAAGAATATCTAAAGAGTGCAACAAAATGCTTTATTTATAGTAGCTGGGAGGCCGCAACAAGCTTTATTTCAGGTCCTAAGCTACTGTCATAAAGCTTTCATGCTTACCACGTTGGTACAGTTCAGGGGTTCCCAAACTATGATGCAAAAAGAGCTCTGGACAGGCTTGCAAGCCGCTCAGATAAGCACGATACAAGCAGTCTGCCAAAGCTGGAAGAACCAATGCTTTCACAACTAGTTTGTTTTTTAAAGAAGAGGCAGGCAGAAAATGGGCTGGGGTAACCCACCAGCAGGGAGCAAGAACAGCTGAGAGAACCTATGCCAGCAGCTTACCCTTCAGCCCCTTTGTGCTGCTGAGCTGCTCTGTACGTCCTTCCGCCTACGCAATCTGCAGGCTGAAGTCCCGATGGGGATGTGGGAGCAGAACCTTCTGGTATACTTTACATTGCTAAAATATTTGCCAAATATCCATAAATGAAGAGACGATAAACGACTATCATACAAACGCTGAGCCACAAGCAGGACTTCTCTCTCTATGTCTTACTTCTTAAAATCGGGCTTTTCAATCAGGATTGGCGTGGTCCCAAACAAATTCTGGATATTAGTGAATTAATCCATTGACCTGCAAACTAACATTTAATATCATTCAGTTTCTCTGAGTATTATTAGCATATGCTCTAACTGTGGAATGTTTTACAGGTGCACAGTACACTTTAGTTCTTGCATTTTTTTACTTGCTGCCTTGATTCTTAAAATACCCATTATAAGATCTTTAGTGTAACCACTCTAGGGCTGAGTTCGCTTGCACTATCTGCCTTAGTAAAATCAGATTCATTTGCACAGATATGAGCAGCAGATTTAGGTTATTTAACAAATTTTGAAGGATAGCTGTGTATCAGACCTCATGGACACTTCCATATACGTATTCTTAGTTCTTATAGTATGATTATTAGTTCAAGTATTATTCAAGAGGATCACTGTACATCTGAACAACATACTACATACATGCTCACTGTAAAAGTAACTCAACATTGGTAAATACGCAAGCACAGCTATAGTATACACCATGGCTATATAATGTATATTGTAATCCTGAAGTGGTGATCACCTGATGGCTGCTATCAGGCATGCTACTGAAATGGTACAATGCATGACGTACCTTCGGAGTAGCCAAGATGCTGGGCTTTCTGCTTCCCAACTTTTAACATTTCTTTGTTAATGTCACAGACTACCACTTGGGAATCCCCTAGTGACTTGGATTTGTCTTCCTGGTAACTCTCCGAAATTTCCTGCCATGATAAATTCTGATGGTGCTTAAGCTTCTGCTGGAGTTGGCGTTCTCGTACAGAGCGAACATAATTAATAAATCGAAAGGCGATGTCACCTGCATTTGTTTTAAAAGAAAGATACATGTTTTGGAATATTTTCTGACTTCAGGAAATTGGAACATAAGGCTCTGAACATCAAACTGAGTTCATTTTTACTTGTATCTATTTACAAAAATAAAAATAGAACCCTCATGCAAAGTATAGCAAGACAGTGAGATAGAGAGTGGGTATATATATAAAATATATAAAGGGAACATATTAAACAGAGAGAGTGCACAACTTCCTACAGATGGAAACAGTTTTCCATAACACATCAAGGCAGCACTATAATACTCTCAGAGCCTGGGAGCAAGATATTGCAAAGCACAAACAAGTTAGCTCTCAACCTTCTCTGTGAAAACCACCTAGATGCTTCACTAGCTTTAAAGACAGGGCACTGAAGGGGGGAAGCAGCTAGGCAACTTGAGTCTGAGCAGACTCACTCGGTTCAAAAACAGCGTGACATTGTCCTGTGGAACTCACCAAAATTATTTACCTGTTCCTCCAGCAACATCAAGTAGAAGTGTTCCTGGGAAAGGGTTCATTTTATGCATGAGGATATCCTTCCACACTCGATGAACCCCTAGACTCATTGAATCATTCATTACATCGTATTTCTTGGCCACACTTTCAAAGACGTGGTAAACTGCAAAAAAAGGACACGAGAATGAGATGCAATTTACTTAAAACAGCCCCTGTGGAAGTAAAACGTGTCCTTTATTGCCTCGTGGAGGTCTGACACCATGTGGAACTGAAAAACACCAGCTGAAAACGCCTTACAAAAAGTACGATCGAAGCCCGCTGAGCCTGTGACAAACGTCTCTGGAGGAACGCAGCCTCTTCCCATCACCCTTTCCGGAGCTGAGGGGAAGAGTCGAGCAGGCACCACACTGACACTGCTCGCCGAGACTCCCGGTAACGCCTCACACCAAGGGCCCAGCTCCAAACCCGTCTCCGCCG